ATTTTAAAACTTTATATCATGTTTCCAACAAACTTTCCCTTTTCTGTTTGAAAATACATCAGTGGGACTCAATCCATTTCTTTGTCTTGCTTTTATTTTTTATTATTTTTTTAAAATAATTTTATTGAGAAACAAATAGCAATAAGACAGTTTCAAAACCAATTATTAGCACAGTTTCAACAATTTATACATGGCATATTGTTGTATTCTTAGTGGTTATTCATAGTATAAAATGCAGATATGATATCTTGTCTACAAACACTATTAGAAAAAATCTTTCTTCTCATTGAATTAAGAGAAAGTAGCTGTATATCTATCCTAACTATTTTGCATATACAGATACAAAATGGTCATTCATGTGTATCCCCTTTTTTGTTTAGTTTTGTCAGAGATGGGTATTCCATTGTCATTTAAATATTGTAAGTGCATGAATTCAGCAAAATAATCCAATATAGTCCAGTAGTCCATAATAGTAGTGGGTTATCTGTAGGAACTGCAATGTCAGAAGTTGTTGACTTGAGTCTTTTACACCTCAGCATATTAATATGGCTTTACTTTTTATACTTTGTTTCTATACTTTCCTGCTGGATGGTTAAGACCAAGATGAAGCAAGACCTATATAAGAAGAAATGCAACTTTTGTATCTGACAAGCTCAGTCAAATTCCCTCAGGATTTACCCTGAAAGCCTGTACCTCAGTTTGTAGACTGTCAGTGTCAGCCAAGAGGATGAGTCACAGCCATTGCTTGACCAATTTGCTCTCTGTGAAAGCCTGAAAGAATGTTTTCTCTCCATGTGGATCTCCTTAGGCACACTCTACATCATTGATCACTTTCCTCTGTGACCCCCATAATCTCCTTGATGAGGAAATTTGGACAAACCATAAATTAGAGGGAAAAAAAGAGCTGCCAGGACAGCCAACATTTTGGCCCTAGCCTTTCAAGGTCAGTGAGGACTCAAGACATAGGGGAACCTATACTGTCTTGCTTTTAAACTAAGAACTTTGTTTAAAGCTACTTTGTTTAAATCTCATGAGGAACTGTAGTTCCTGTTTCTTTCTCTTTTGTTTTGTAAAAAATGTCCTTTGAGAAGACATTTGAGATCAAATTTCTCTATGAGTGAAATTATAGTTAGTAGTAAAATATACATACACTTTAGCCAAGGTCACTTATGTGCCTGAACTCCTCTGGCTACCAAAGCATTGTGAATATTAGTTTTTGAGCCTCTAGGGCAAGAATAGAGTAAAAATAAGAAATAAATGATTCAAAATGTTTACAAGGAGATTCAGAAGAAGAACTTATAGTTTTGGGCAAACTAGGGCATCTTCTGAAACCTTTCAGGTCAGAAGTGCTGAACTCTCATGAGGAATTCTTGCTTGTGTGAGTAAAGTACCACAAAAAGCAACAGGTCATAGACTAAGATAGATCCCTTCTTAGCTCGAATTAGCCAATGCTCACAGAGCCATCTTCATTGGCTCAATGAAAGTACTAATTTTTAGAAAGTTCAAGAGCACAAAGCAATTATAAGAAAATTTTAGAATTATCACTCTTCTCCAATGGCCCTAAAGTGGGAGATTTTCCTTTTCTTTTTCCCTTTATCCAATAAAAATTATTTTGCTCTATGTTTGAATTAATATGATAGTAATTAAGAAAATGCCTTTGTGTAACTTCAAAATATTTAGAGATTGAAAATTAATACATAGTAAAACATGATATATGGTTGACTATGATAAAAAATTAAAGAAACAATTTTCTGTATTTGAATTAAAATTATCCTTTTTTTTCCATAATTTTATTAAGAAACAAATAGCAACGAGACACTTTCAAACCAAATTGGTAGGACAGTTTCAATAATTAACACATTGCATACATTCTTCCTAGTGGTTAACTGCTGTGCAAGATGTGGACACGATATCCTATTTACAAACACTATTAGAACAAATCTCTCTATTCATTAAGAGACTGTAACTATACATCTATCCTAACCATTTTGAATACACAGATACAAAATGGACATTCATCTGTATCCCATTTTTTGTTAAGTTCTGTTATTTGAATATTATAGGTGTGTTAACTCAGCAAAATATTGTAAGAGTCCAGTAGTCCACAATAGTATTGAGTCTTCCACTTCACTGGCAATGTCAGAAATTGTTGACCTGAGTCCCCTACAACTCAATATAACAGCACAGCTTTACTTCTTACACTTCATTTTTATACTTTTCTACTGGATGGTTAAGACCAAGGTAAAGCAGGACCTATGCAACAAGAGTTGTAGCTTTTGGGTCTGATAAGGTCAGTGAAATCCCCTCAGGATGTATCCTGAAATCCTGTTCCTCAGATTGTAGATTCTTTGTCAGTGTCAGCCATGTGGATGAGTCACAGCCATTGCTTGGCCAATAAAATTATCCTTTTAACATAAAATAACTTTTTCATAAGAAAAATGTTATAAGACAAGCTACCAATAGCTCATTTATTACATGTTTTGATGCTGCTATATTAGTTTTGAAGCTCAATTAAATAAGTTTTAAGTTGTCTAACAACGTCTATAGCCAAGAAAAGATCAGAATGTCTTACCAGGGTGTGTTCTCACAGTTTTTTATAATAGTTGTGATTATATCCACCATACCATCAATTAAAACAATATCTTGCTAGAGCTAAGATTTTCTGGTAATTTCACTTTCTTCCATTTGTGTTCATGTTGCTTTCACAGATGCTTCAAAAATTTGTTTTCTGTACAATTGAGAGATATATTCTAGGTGATGTCACTATGGTCTAATTTTTAATAACAAAAAAGGAAATGAATAACAAAATCAGTTTAGTTTTCATTGCTGGAAATATCCCCTATGTAAGAAAAGCTAAATGCTGGTAGTTAGGGACTTTTAATCTTTCTGCCAGTTGACAAGAAGCTTAATACTATATAAGAACCTCAGCTTCAAGGGTCCTGAAGCCAGAGAAAAAAAACACCCAACCTGGAACTTGGGTTGGGTATTTAAGACATGCCATTCAGCTGATCACAACCTAGATTCTGTCTGGGCACTTTTGTTTCAGTGTCCTGTGTGTCTGTGATGCCCAGGAAAAGCAGGAAATGAGAATTTCTTCCCAGGGAAGTGTAATCAGGAGGCAAATGGAGCGAGCTCTAAAGGAGGCTCTCATTTTTATGACTGATACAACCTAGGTAGTAGCAACTTATGTATGAGTTGAATAAAAAAGAAAAAAAAACTTGGCTACAAAAGCATGAATAGTATATTTAATGTCTGTCTGCTCTCCCTAGACATTGATAATAGTTTATGTTTTTATATCCCACTAAATGCTCTGCTACATACAATGGATATTCAAATATGTATTGATTCCTTTTAAAATTGAAGGACACATCCAGCAGTATATATCAATGAACTTGGTTGCTTTTGTTCTAGCATTTTCCTCTGAGCTCATAGAAGAGTTTAAAACAACTTTTGACTTATTAATAAGAAATGCTATCATTAATAAGCATTTTGAAAAAACAATTCCTATGGCTGTCCTCCACCTCTAGTTTAAATCAAGATTTGTAAAATTATTAACTCACTTTATGAATCTTTTCATTACAAATTAGAAATAAACTAATCATGTCCAAATATAATGAAAAACTCACTGTCTTATGCATTTGGAAAAGTCTGTACTTCGGTAAGGCAATCTGACAACATTAGAAATTTTAAATTTACAGATCATTTAATAGAATCATCATTAGGAATATACATGCTGACTCTACAGCTATATGCCACAATGATAAGATATAGTTGGAAAGATAGTACACTCTAAGTGCTAAATGTTCACAGTACAGGTAATGATTAAAAGCATGTAGTACATTCAGGTGATGTAAAACTATACAAAGTGCAAGGTCCTGCGTTCAATCCCTGGTACCACCAAAACAAAACAAAACAAAATAAATTATATAATCACTAAAATTAATCAAATATATATGCATCTATTAATATGAAAGATCTTCAATGCTCATTATTACTTGAAAATGTAAAGAATAGACTCATCTACCACATGTTCCTTCTTTGCTACAGATATATTTAATAAATGTGCATAAATACATATGTGTAAACTGCTGGGTGCAACTATTTTCCATCCGCCTATTTTAAAAAGTTAGATGAACAGTATTTTACTTTTAAAATGACTGCTAATATGTAACTATAGCAGCAATTATTTATGTATGTGTATGTAAATTTATACACATATGTACATATTTCACTACAAATTAGAATTAAAATCAAAGTGACAGTGTTGCAGCACAGGGACAATTCTGCAGTAACTCACAGATGCTCAAGGTCTGCAGTACACAGGAAAGAATCACAGGGTCAAAGTTCTCACTGGCGTTGTCTGGATCAAACTCTCCTGTGACCTGTGCAGTATAATTCCAGGAATCTTGATGCTCCACTCGCCTGATAACTAGTGCTGTGAAAAGCTCAGGAAAGGAGCGTGTTACCCTCTTGATGCAGGAGCCTTTAGTTCCTCCTCGCCAGGTAGCCTCATTGTTCTCACACTCTTCTGCCCCTTGTTCCTGCCTCTACAAGGTGGAGTTTGGCTGGTCCAGTTGTAATTCTTGTTCTATATGTAGAAGAAGAGGGCAATGAACTCTCTTTTGCAGGTTTCCGGGATGCCAGGAAATGAACCAAAACTCCCAGGAGAGCAGCCCATGATCCTGCCCAAGGCCCAGAAAAGTTTAAAAGCTCAACTCTACCTCACAGTTTTGCCCACACAAAATAAGCACTTGTTTTGAGAAATTCCTAAAGTGAAATGACTTAGGAATGCATATCCTGTACTTGTCTCATATTCTATCAGTATACGTCAAAGAAAGTTACTATACTATACTGGATGTTTCTTTTAACTATATCAATCTCTAATCAAAAATTCTTTAAAATTATGACTTCTGCTCATATGAGTTTGTGTGTTAGCTTGCCTTCAAAAAGATAAAGAACTACAGATGATTCCAAGCTCATATTTGTGTCTGTGGCTTAGAATGACTTATAAAGTTTTACCACAGTAAGCCTTGGATATGTACTGGGTTATGCCATTCCATTTCAGGACCTGAAATGAACGTCGTCTCTCAGCACATGGCTAGACATCCCATCTTAAATTTCTTCCTGCTGAGTGTTATGGTTAATGGGGGCCAAGCGTGCCTCTGTGGTCACTTGCTCTGGACTTAGTGGACCTTTTCTTTTTGTCTTAGGAGACCTCAAAGATGAATCAGCAGTATCAGAAGCATGACAACAAGCAGTGGAAAAAAACTTCATCTGAAACAACATCTTGAAAATTTGGTCAGAATTGAGATTTCTCCCATGTGAAGCTGAAATCAAATCTACTTTTGCTCTCACTATAAAAAAAGGGTTTTGAAGAAATTTAATCAAGAAGCTGTACAATATTTTCAGTTGACTAACATTTAGAATTGCTAGTCAAGCTTTTCTTCAATCAGCATGTAAGTTTGCTTTCCTAGAGTTAGTGAGTTAATTATAGAGAATTTTCTACTCATTAAACTGAGGCTAACAAGACCTCAGTTGAACAGCACTGCTAGCTCTTAGCTCAGTTGTTGGAATACACAAATGGCAGGAAAACTGCATTTCCTTTCTAGTGTTTAATAATTCGATCTTTTCAACAATTCAGACTACTTATCCCCCACATTTCCCTAAATCTGGTAAATGTTTCTGTAAAGTAGAGGTCCTCAGATGACTTAAGGGTGAAAGATACATAGGTAATGTGTTTTAAATATTATGGCACTTTTAGAGACTCATTCTAGAAAAGTGTTTTTACATATGGAGTGCAAATCTCACCAAACTCACCAATTGGCTTCCATCTGCTAAATGTGTGAATACAAATTTGTTCACACTACTGCTTTACTCAACAGCCTTGTGCAGCCCTCTGTTGCCTAACAGATAAGGAATAATATGTCCCATTCTGTCCTGATCATGCATCACTTCTGGGTCACACTTGGACCTCCTCAGAGGCTTGTGCTCCCTTCCACCTCTAACTTTTTTTTTTCCTCCAACTGATCTTCCCTTCTTTCCCTGGAGAATTCAACTGAATTTTTTCAGTATGTCACTCCCCTGCCACTTTATCGTTGAATCTCTGGCTCCACACCACTCTGACCTTATTTCAATCATTGTACTTACCACACCTTATTGTCATCTTTTAAGCAACTTGCAGGAACTTTCCTTTCATTCCATGCCTTCCTGGTTATCCACCAGGGCCAGCTTCGTGGATGTGACCCGTGCAGTCATTCCGACCTCCACCTCCACGTGTAGAAGGGCTTTGGTGTTTCTTAATTCTGCATCACCATCAAAAAGTTTTCGCTTTAGAAGATGTCTCATCTTTTTTGGTGCTGGTCCTGAGTTTTATGAAATTATATTTACTGTGTGTGCCAGCCAATCTGCCTGATTTCCCCTGAAACTTTCTTTCATTTTATTCTTTGTAAATGTTCAATATTTTTCTTGTAGGGTGAGAGCAACAGTAAATACACACATACTAAATAACTTCTTCCTCACTGTTATAGACAAATAATACTAAATAATTACTATTGGGATAGCTCACATGACCAGGTTTGCACCAAGCAGGAGACCAGAGAGTGCAACTGAAAGACATGCCCTGTCAACTGCATCCTGGGAGATGATGGGTCATGGTCAGATTGGAAAGCAAGCAAGTGATTCACAGGGTATTCAGAGACCTACATTACAATAAAGTGCTTTCTTACAGACTCAACAATACAGAAATGTCAAGTCGCTTCAATTTCTAAAAGTGAACTGCCCCAGTTTCCATTTAGAAAAAAACTTCATTTAGCAATTTTCAGAGGTGTAGGGTCAAGGAAAATAAAGAAATTCGACCTCCATGATGGGTCCTATGTTTATCTGCATCTGAATTGCATTCCCAATACTTCTTAACATAAGAACAAGTAGTAAAAAACAGAGTTCAGTCCAAACAACTGAAAACTAAACAGAAACAAGGGAAATGAATCAAAAGCCTGCTGGAATGTTTCCTCTGAGTGTTCTGTCCCCACGGAGAAGTCCTTCAATATTTTTATTGCTCCCAGCTGAATCATCAACCCAGCTCATGTTCATTCCATGAGGCCACTGACTTTTGTGAACCTTTGTTGTTGGGGTGAGGTGTGGAGAGTTCACATGTTAGAAAGAAACTCATTTGTGGAGTGCTCATTGAATGTGGGCAAGAGTTCTAAGCCTCTTGCACCTATTATTTTATTCAAATGTTAGATCATGCTCTGTTTTCCTGCCCACTTTATATATAAAAAATTACAGCTCATTAGGTGTTAAATAATTTACCCAAGAACACGCCATTAATTACTTATACAGTAGCATTTTAACAAAATATTTTAACTTCAAAGTCAATACTTGTTAATCCTATAATATAGTTATCCTCACCTGATTCTTCATACTAGTGCTCACCATTTAAAATCTTTTAATGCATGGAGAAAACGTCAACCTCTGTTTCCATGGAGACCTCTGTATTGAAAAGAAACTTAAAATTCATTTACATTTATCACTTCACACTGCCTTTGAGATATAGGACAATTGTTATTGCCTGAAAGGATTTCTTGCACTCGGGAGAACCTCAATATAAACATTTGTCTGTTTTGATGTTGATGGAATTTAGAACCATATAATTAGAGAGTTAGAAGACTTAAAAATCCTTTTACCCCTCTTCCTCATTTTGCAGACCAGGAAACTAAGGCCCCAGGAAGTGTTTACTTCCTTACATATACACAATAATGAAAATGGAAAAATTGTTGATGAAATTCAGAAAACACCATTATAGGAAAAACTTACCACTGTGATTGAAAAGCAGCATATTTTAGAAACAGTTTGACCTTGACCTGCCTTGGAGCTACTCATCTCTCTCTCCTTTCCTTTTAGACTAAGGTTAGATCTTTCTTCCTCCCTAGTCAATTTGGAGGACAAGCGTGTAATGGACCTCTGGTGACCTTTCAACTATGTATTCAATCTAAATTCTGCATAACTGAAGAAGTTAACCTCAAGAATAGATTCCGTTCTGACAGTGGCAGTGTACTTTTGTAAAACACAGTGTTCACTAAAAATGACTAAGTTAAAGCACTTCAAACTGCCGATATAAAGTCTGATAAAGAAACCCCACTTCATTCTAAGCTTGGAGAACAGGGTTGCTTATCCTGTTACCAAAATATTTATATGTGAAATCACATCTTTCAAGTTGTAACCATTTTGATCACTTTCTTAATTTATTTGCTCATAAACTGATAGTGTTCAGGTAACTGCACTGTTCTAAAGCAGGGAAAAAGAGAAAGGGAGGACAAGGGAAGGTAGGCAATTATTTTATGATAATTACAAAACTGTAATGAGTATAACTGAAAAAATGACAAATATAAAGGATTTTTCATCACAGTTAAGAATAGTAAGGTACAATATCCGAGGATGACTAGAAATGGGGTGTGGTAATATTTTTTGATTGGTTCCAAAGGTAATTCCAAAAGACTGGAATGATTGTAATGATGGCACTACCTTCAAAACCAATACTGATTCAGATACATCTGGGATTCACATTTCATTAAATTATGATCACATATTGAATATATTAATATATTAATCATCTGTATTCTCTTATTAATTAACATCTCTTCAGGGCTGGGGGTTTAGCTCACGGCACAGCACCTGCCTGGCAAGTGTGAGGTCCTGAGTTCCATTTCCAGTACCTCACCTTCCCACAAGAAAACAAGCAAAACAAAATAACAACCCAGCTCCTCAATGCTCACCACTGAATAATATTTCTACAAACTTTTCAGTAAAGGCCAGGATGGCCACGTGGACCATATGGTCTACGCTGCTGCTGCTCCACCCTGGTATCATGGCACCAAGGCTGTCCTTGATAGTAAATAGTGAATGTGTCCATGTTCTAATAACAATTTATTTACTTGAGCAGGTGAGGGTCATATTTCACACAGGAGCTATAGTTCACTGACCTCAGTCCCAGCCACTTAGAATTTATAATAAATGAAATGTCAAATAAATCTGTATCATTTCTATGTGATATACTATACATTGAAAAGTAAAGTATTTATAGCTAGATAATAAATTTTGTATTTCATGTTGAATTGGCCCAAGATGTTGGTACTAATGTTTTTAAACTTTTAATCTTACTTCTTGCCTTCAGTTTTTCCAAATAGTGCTGAATGTAAAACAGCAATGCTTGTGTTTGGGTTTTTGTTTTCCTTTTTCCCCACTTATGTTATCTCAACCCTGGGAAGTGATAGTAGTTGAGTAGTGAGGTGTACTTTGCGTCTGCATGAATAAGGTCATGTCACTAATTAACTTAGAGAGGGGCTGGGGAGATGGCTCAGTGGAACAAGTGCTTCTTTGGCAAGTGCAAGGTCCTGAGTTCAATCCCCAGTTCTGCCAAAATCTAATTAACTTAGAGGGATTATGAACAATTTTTTAAAAAGTGTATTTGGTTGTTACAGGGTCTCACTACACAGCTCAGACTCTTGGTGATCCTCCTGCTTTCAGCCTCCCCAGCACGGGGATTGCAGGCATGTGCCACTACTCCCTGACTCTGGCTGGCTCAGCCCACCCTGAGGATGGGGCTGGCATGACATCAGGTGCTAGGGAACTAACCACAGTCTCTGTGCTTGCCTAAGTAGGCACTTTGGTCCTCTGAGCTATCTCCCCAGCCCCATGAGCAAAATCTTGATCATAGTGGTTGAGACTAACACATGCTTGAGAGATGACATCTAGACTATTAAAATCCAGAGTTAAAGCCAAAGTGTTTCTGGTAGAAGCTTCAGAGACAGTTTTTAAAACAAGTAACCAAGAAATATTTCTTTATGTAGAAGGTGATACGAAATTGACTATAAAAAGTTTGTTTCTTTAGGCTAAGAAGGGCTTGCACAGGCTTTAGATTCATTTATTGCTCACCAATACATAACAAATGATTTCAGAAATGGTAGCAGTGTAAGTACAGCCATTGTCCATTTTACCTGAAATACTCAAGGTCCACAATCACTGTTAAAATTTTGAGCCATTTGCAATGCATCCACGGAAGAGTGGTCAGCAGTTACCTCCTTGAGCTCCCTGCTTCCCAGACTTGCTCACCCAACCCCTGGATACAACCATAATCCAGTTTCTAACTGATGAATTCTTACCATCATTGTGGTTGGCATCTTTTCTCATTGGATATTAAATATTCTATTTAAGGTGATAGGCTACTGTACTTTCCTGAAAACATTCACTAAGGCCATTGGGACTAACAGCAAGAGGTTGGTAGAATGATAATCAGTCTCACATAGCATATTTGGTCTTTACTTAATCAAAAAATGGTTGGATCTAGTAGTTCATCCTAACAGGACTACCTTTTATTTCTCCCTCCTGTGTGCCACTCAGAGTCCCTCAAAAATCTCTGACTCAATATATTATTTTAATGTACATAAAGCTTTTTGAGAATCACCCATATGTGAACTCATTTTTGAGAATCATTCCCATACACAATGCCAAAATCTCTTTTAAAGTCATAACTTTCAAGCATGGAAAATTTGTAGTTTGTTATGTCAAAAAATAATCATTGTAACACTAATCAGTTCGTAGAGATAGAAAAAACATCGTGTGCACTTTGTAAATGGCCACAGAACGCCAAGTGTCCCCACGTAGCTGTCTTCCCTTATCCAGAGCTTCACTTTCAAGGTTCCAGTTCTGCAGTGAACCACCATCCAAAAGCATTAAATGGAAAATTCCAGAAATAAACAATGTACCAGTTTTAAGTTAGATGAAGAGTAATGAAGTCGTGCGTTTTCCCACCCTGTTCTCCCCAGCAACAAATCCCTCCTTTGTTGAGTTTAGCAACACTATGTACACTACTTGGCAAGAATAGTTATTAAGAGACCCAGTCCTAGCCCAGGTCCGGTGAGTGTGTGGAGAGCTTCCTGCTACCCTGCACCAGCGGGACCAGTCCCAGCCCAGGCGCAGCATGGGCCGGACCCTCTCCCATCCCCTCGGGCTGCCCCACACCACTCTGCCGTATGTCCCCACCCCTCCTGCCGAGTAGGAACTTCTGCCGACTTCCGGGAACCCCAGAACCAGTCCTAGCCCAGGCCCGGTGAGTGTGTGGAGAGCTTACTGCTACCCTGCGCTGGCGGGACCAGTCCCAGCCCAGGCGCAGTGTGGGCTGGACCCTCTCCC